TTTCACAGCTATGAATTTCCCTTTAAGAACTGCTTTCATTGCATCCTTTAAGTTCCTATAAATTGTGCTTGAGTTTTCATTGCACTGTCGATATTGTTCAATTTCTTGTTTAATTTCATCTGTGTCCCATTGTTTGCTCAGTAGGGTGTTGTTTAATTTCCCTGTATTTATGGGATTTTTCTGTTTTCTTGTCTCATTTATTTCCAGTTTCATTGCACTGTGGTCTGATAATATGTATGGGATAATTTCTGTTTTCTGGCATATACTTAAGCATGACCTATGGGCCAGTATGTGGTTGTTTTTAGAAAATGACCATTGTGCAGCTGAAAGAAAGATCTTTTCAGCTGTCATTGGGTGGAACACTGTATATGTCCACCAAGTCCATTTGTTCCAGGCTCTGGTTCAGTTCCGCTACTTCTTTGCTAATTTTTGGTCTGCTTGACCTATGTTTTTGGGATAAGGGGGTGTTAAGGTCTCCTGTTAGATTGTGATATTGGATATTAAATTTTTCATGTCCATTAAGATTTGTCTTATATAGTTGGGTGCTCCCATGTTTGGTGCATACACATTTATGAGTGTTACCTCTTCCTCTTGAATTTTTCCCCTAACTAGTGTATAGTGGCCTTCTTTGTTTCATTTGATCATTCTTGGTTTGAAGTTGAGACTGTCTGAGAACAGGATTGCTACCCCTGTTTTTTTCTGAGGTGCTGGTGTGTATAGTATTGTTTTCCACCCTTTGATATTCAGCCTATGAATTTCTTTTTGAGTTAAGTGTGTTTCTTTTTCTTTTTTGTGGAACGGGGGATCGAACACAGGCCCTTGCGCTTGCCAGGCAAGTGCTTATTCCACTGAGCCATCTCCCCGGCCCCGCATTGTCATGTTTGCCCAGTCCTGCTTTCTTTTCTCTCTCTTCAATTTGTTTTCTGCATTCTTCAAACTTTGTTTCAAATTGTTGTGCATTCTCAGCATTTAAGAAGTGGATGGCAACCAGCTCCGGCTTGGGATAGTCAGCATGGGTGTTCCAGACCCAGGCATGGTCACTGCCAGCATTTGGCTTGAGCTCCATCATAGGCGTGATATAATGATTGGCACAGATTTTTAGGGTCTTGTCCCTCCTTGTGAGGAGGTGGATGGTCCCTTTATCCTTATGCTTCAGGAACTTGACATTGCCGGTGCCTCGTTCTTTTCATTCTGGACTATCATTCTCTGAAGCAAATCGGAACAACTTTTGCTCACATTTTAAAAAGTTCCTCTCCCTCTAGCGTTTTAATTTCTTGCTTAGGAAGAGAAACTATTGGTTCAAACTGGGGGTCATGGTTGTGTTCGTCTGCATTTTCAGTGGAGGTATCATGGTCCTCATGAGTATCCCTGGCGGCTGCAGCGGCTTGGCCAGCTCTGTCATTGTTGACTCCACGGCCTCTAGGTGGCAACTGGTTACTCCTTTCCTCTGCTTTCATAGAGGACTTGAAGTACTCTGCTCCATGTTCTTGCCTTCATGGTTTGTGAAGAGCAGTCTGCCATATTAAATGTGATGTGTTTCTTTTCTCTTGTGGCAAAGTATATTGTTCTTGTGTTGGATTTCTGGGATCTTGAGTATTATGTGTCTTGGTGCGTTTTTAATTGGGTTCAAGTTATTTGGAGTTCTGTATGCTTTGGTTAGCTGATTGTCAGATTGCTTCCTCATGTTTGTGAAGTTTTCTGCTATTCTGCCCATATTCTTTTTATATCATTTGTTTTGACTCCTTTCTCATTGATGCCTATTAGTCTCAGGTTGTTCATCTTTGGATTGTCTTGCAGGTGATGAATTATTTTTTCCTGCATCCTAGTTGTTTTAAAGAGATCTTTTCTTACCTTTTCACTAGCTGCAACAGCATCTTTTTTTTTCCCATAATTTTATTGATAAATAGCAATGAGACAGTTTCAAATCAAATTTGTAGGGCAGTTTCAATAATTAACACATTGCATACATTCTTCCTAGTGGTTAATTGCTGTACAAGATGCGGACATGATATCCTGTTTACAAACACCATTAGAACAAATCACTCTATTCATTAAGAGAATGTAACTATATGTCTATCCTAACCACTTTGAATACACAGATACAAAATGGACATACATCTGTATACCCTTTTTTTTTGTTAAGTTCCGTTATTTGAATATTATAGGTGTGTAAACTCAGCAAAATATTCCAAAAGAGTCCATGCAACAGCATCTTAAAGATCTAAAACTCTGTCTTCACTTTCACTCAAAAGGTTTTGCAAGCTTGTGATTAAAATGTTAAGTTCCTCTATCTGTTTGACTCTGCTTCATGCGATCTGTTTGTTTCCTGTATTGCTCATTCAGGGAATCCTTCGCTTTTCTAATCTCCTCTATTTTTTTATTAGTGTCTTCTTGAGAAGCAGTTATTAATTCTTTTACTTCAGAGATTATTTCTGATCTAATTTCCTTTATATATTTCTGCATTTGATTCTTCAGATGCTATTAATTCAGAGATTTCTTTTATTTCATAGATTAATTCTGATCTGAGTTCCTCTTTACCTTTCTGCTGTCGTATCTTTTCTTCTGACACTAGTAATTCAGAGAGTTCTTTTTTATTTCAGAGATTAATTCTGATCTGAGTGCCTCTATACCTTTCTGCTGTTGTTTTCTTCCAACGCTAGTAATTCAGAGATTTCTTTTATTGTTTTAGAGATTATTTCTGATCTGAGTTCCTCTATACCTTTCTGCTGTTGTTTCTTTACTTCCGACGCTGTCAATTCATACATTTCAGCTGAGCTAGTGTCCTCTGCACTTGTTCTGGGTGGGCTTGAGGCCTGAGATTCCATTTTGCTTGTTGTTATTTTGTATAGTGCTGACATCTGACCTTTGGTGTAGAGCATTGGTGCATTTATAACAGCACTTACAGAAATTCAGGTGCAGATCTATTAAGTTTGAGTTTATCCAGTTATGCCTGGTTTGGGTCTGGCTGTTGTGCTCAGCTTCTTCCTGTTGCAGCCCTTGGAAGTGAACCTGTTGTGCCCCTGGCCCAAGAGGTGCAGGGAGCGCAGCAGCTCTCTCACACACTTAGCAGGGCCTGGGGTTGGGCTGGGTCTGGGGGGGGGTCCTGAGAGCACAGCAAAAGTTCTCACTTGGTGGGCTTTGGAGATGGGCTCCAGAGTGGTGGAGGGGTCCTGAGGGTGAGGCAGAGGGTCGCACTCACGTGGCATGCCTGGGTTTGGTCTGGAGGTCCCACGGGTGCATGGGAGCTGCTAACCTCTGTTTTACTATCCACAGAAGAGGTGAGAAACAGTTGAAGGTTGGATCTTTGCCAGCATTTTTATTGAGATATGCCATAAACTTCACTTCTTTAAAGCAGGCAGTTCATTGGGTTTTGTTTTTTCTCAGAGCTATATGACCATTGCTGTAGTTAATTTTAGAACATTTTCATGCAAAAAAGAAATCCTATACACATCAGTGGTTTGTTCCCATCCCCACAGTTGCCAGCAGTACAGATCAATTCCTTCTCTCTGGATTTGCCTGTTCTGGACATTTCATTTCACCTCAGTCCTGAGGTCCTGGCACCCCAGATGTTGGTGGAGAAATGTCAGCGCAGACCCTGACCATACTTAGAAGTGGCCAGCAATGCCTGCTTTGTTATCAGTTCACTTCGACAGTGTCTCAGTAAAAGGGGGTTGCTCAGAAGATACACTCCTGATAGCTGTGATCATGCAGGGATTTTCTTGGACTCCTCAAAAATGTGTGTCTGGAAGAAAGTGTTTTCTCTCTGTGGTTTCATAAAGGGCAGTCTCTCTTGCTACCCTGTGGGTTCCTGAAGGTGCCAGTTACAGTGTGGCCCTCACAGGCCTGAGGCTGGTTGTGGCTGCCTGGCCAATTTAGCTTGCTTTGTTTGCCTGCAGTTATAGTAAGGTTTTATCTGAATGTTCTGAGTCCTGGTTTCTTGAGTGGTGGGTGTCCTGCATGGGGTGCTGTCCTGTCTATGGATTCAGCGGGCGTGTGTGAGGGCTGGCTGAGACCTGCTGTCTCCCTCCCTTCAGTCTTCCATTCTGGTCAGCCCCACCCTCACAACTCTTGATCCCACCCCTCTGATTCTGAGGATGTATCAGTCCAGGTCTCCAGGTCTTGCCATTTCTAGAAGTAGGGATTGGTTATGTACCTGGCTCCAGAGGGGCCATCCAGCTCTCACTCCTTTGCCTAAACACAGACCTAGTTCAGGTCTACAGTGGTCTGAAGGGAAGGACAACCTGATACCTAGTCCTTCCATATCATTGGGACTGAAGTCTCCATAGGGGGTTTTAGAATGTGAAACAGACCTTCTGTGTCTGGGGCAAACTGATATGTGACCTACATCATGTACGCTACATGCCTGTTTGGGATGAGTTTACTGATGTTGTAATGCTTTTTCATTTGATTTGTAATGAGGTCCTATAATTTTTCTTTCTCACATTCTGATATTTTTAGTAGGGGCCGGCCAGATAACTCAGTGGATTAAAACACCTGCTTAGGCAGACGCAGGAACTGGGTTCGATCCTTGGCATGTTGTGCTGGCCCCATGCCCCGGGGCAAGCTGAAATGGCGATTTAGCCCGGGTGTGGTGGCATGCGCCTATAATCCCAGCACTTGGAAAGCTGAAAATAGGAGGATCACTATGAGTCCAATATGTGTAGTGAGACCCTGTAGAACCTGTACTAAATGCAAAAAACCCCCAAAAAGTTGTGGCAATACTACTTTTACTAAATGAGTTGTTCTTTGTGCTTATGTTAAATTTTTACCATATAAGAACAAAGCTGGAGTTCTTCTGGGTCTGGCAGTCTACGGCTGAATGAAAATGCCCCTTGTGGGCCATGGATATAGCTTAGTAGCACAGCGCCTGCCTGGCAAGTACAAGGTTATGAGTTTGATTCCTGGTACCAATAAATAAATAAAAAAGAAAGAAAAGGTCCCTCATGATCCCCTGTGTGCACACTGTGTGGTGTTAATCTGTGTGGTGCTGTCCCCTGCAGGTCCTTGATTCCTAGCCCTGGCTGACCTCCCTGGACACCAGTCATCCTAGGTGTCTCTGCTTTGCCCTTGGCTATACACCGTCACGTTTCCAGTGCAGGCCTGGCAAGATGTTACCTCTTGAGAAGGCTGTGGCCTCTCCCAGGAGCTCCCCAACACCCCCTGAACCACCCACACTAGGCTCAGAAGATGCAGCCCAGCAGGGGGAACCTGAGGCTGAGCCTGAAGCCAAGGCTGAGGCTAATGACCATGCTGAAGCTGTTGCTGAGGTTCATGAGGATATGGCCAAAGTTGATGCTGATGTTGCTGAGGTTCATGGCCATGAAGTTGAGGTCCATTTCGATGCTGCTGAGGGTCATGCTGATGCTGAAGTTAATGCCAATGTAGGTGAGGTTGATGCCGATGCTACTGAGGTTGAGATTGATGCTGAGGTCCATGCTGATGCTGCTGAGGTTGAGGTTGATGCTGATGCAGCTGAGGTTGATGTCGATGCGGCCGAGGTTGATGTCGATGCAGCCGAGGTTGACGCCGATGTGGCCGAGGTTGACCCTGATGATGTGGCCGAGGTTGACCCTGATGATGTGGCTGAGGTTGACCCCTATGTGGCCGAGGTTGACCCTGATGAT